ATTAATTATTATATTTAACAAAAAAATTTGAATTTCAAAAATAAAATGTTGTAAAAAATAAAAATATATGTACTATGTTTAATATTTTTCAAAAGCTTGAGGGGTAACTTGTCAACTACTAGAAAGAATTCTGTTAGTCAATTAACGGAATGTTTATTAAGTATACAATTTTAAAATAAAATTAATAGTTTATAGATTATTTTAAAAAAATTATTTTTAAATTAAATTAAAATAAATCATATAGTTAATAAACTATTTATTTATTAAATTTAGCCATTTGAGTTTTAAAGATTTGTTTGGGTCATAGAAGTCTTATGGTATGAGGTTTGGTTTGTGTTCTCTAGGCTTTTGTTTTTGGATCATATTGGACTTGTGAGCAATGCTAGGGGTACTCGCCAATTGCACTCTCCGACCAACACTTTCATTGTCATTGGGCCACGTTATTTTGGTTGGAGCGGATGCACTGCTTTATAGAAAGGAGGCTTACGTGGCCCAATAAAAAAGCATGTGCCGGTTGGAGAGTGCAGGAGACGAGTGCCCCTAGCATTGCTCTTGACTTGTTATGCAAATGGGCTGTCTTTGGCTTAGTGTGTACAAAGGGTAAAAACTTACTTTTAATCTGTTATATTAATAAATTTATAAGTTTTAATTATTTATTTTACAGTATAATATTTTTAACTTTTTATCTTTATGAATAGAAAAAAATAATCCCTCATCTTTACTAATTAAAGAAAATAACCCCATTACCTTTATGAATTAAAAAAATAATCTTTATTTAATATCAATTTATAACATTTGTTAATTAACTGTTAACATTCTATTAACTCTATTCCTATCACCATTAACATTCTATCAGTTGACTGTTAACGAAATGTTATGTTAACAGTCAACTAATGAACATTATAAATTTATGTTAAATAAATATTATTTTTTTCAATTCATATAAGTAAGAAGTTAAAAATATCATAATATAAGTTGAGAGGTTAAAAAACTATAAATTTATTAAGATAAAAAATTAAAAAGTAAGTTTTTACCCTTTATCCATGCACTGCAATTGAGTCTTCTGAATTTGATTCCACTTTTTGAAGTCCTTTTCCAGTTGATCCTCCCTTGATCCACCTAGATCGGAGTCGTCACCTTTTAAGTCCGTATTTCATTTTTAAACTTTGAAGTGATTTTGAATAGAAATTTTTTTTTTGGTGATTTAGTTAGTTAATTTTAGGGTTTTAATAAACGTTTAGTTGACTATTAACAAGAGTATTTAGTTTTGTGAAACTCTTTACTAAATCCATATTTAGATAAGGAGTTTAATGTAATAAATTGCTTATCCTTGTGTGCTAGTAGCAAGTGAGGAGTTCCATCAATCCAAACTACTAGGCAAACAGTTGATTTGGTTGATCTAAGGCCGTGTTGTTGGATAAAAAAAAAAACTTAAAATAGATTTTAATTTTTCTTTTTGTTGAAGGAAAAAAATGTGTTTGGTTCAGGAGTGAAGAAAAAGGAAATTTTATGCAGTGCTTACCAACTAACAATCCTTCCGATGACCATACCACATCTGCATCAGTGCATGAAATAGACATTTAACAACATATATAACCATTTGAACGAAAAGCCATATATATATATATATATATACACACAACTCTTTGATAGGCAGGACAATCATCCCATCTGCTTTGCTATACAGGTTATAAGTATCAAAACAAAGGAAAAAGACCATTCCAAGCATTAGAAAAAGAAAAAAGAATCATTAATTACAAAAATGGGAAACATACAAATACATTGGTTAGCTTCTTACAAATTTTTAGGAACATGTATTCCTCCATTGTATATATCAAGAAATATACGCTCTCGAAAGTGAGGCATGTTGTCTTGAGAAAAAGGAAAACCAATGCAATTGGTATGCGTAAGGCAATCAGCGTATTTCATTACAAAGATGCCACAGTCAATTCCACTGTCATATCAAAATTAAACAGAAATTAACACTGCAATTACCACATAAGATCATAACAATACTAATCCATGGAATAAAAACCAACTAGTAATATATAATAAATAATAAACATTTATTATTAAGGAGACTCACTTTTCTTGCTTAGGAATATCTCTTGGAACAAAGAAGGGCCAATCCATAGCATTGTTCAGACCCATGGCAGGCAACAACGAACCTTTAAACCATTCTGGAATTCTTTCATAATTACTAGGCATTTGCATTTCTGAATCTTTCCGTGAATCCAACCATACAAATTTCTGGTCCTTGATGTCCACATAGAAAAGAGTCCAATGGTCTAAAAAGCATAATGGTAGAAACAACTACAAATGACAAGAATATTAGCAGATCATATATGTAGTTGTATTTATTACTGAACTTAGGGCAATATAGATAAAAAGCTAACTGACAAACACAAAGATAATACCTTGCATGTACTGATTTGTTCCACAGGGTTGATCCAAGTTGGTACACTGGGCTGGTCTCCACCAAGCAATAAACTCTAAAAAAAAAAAAATAGTGTGAATTAACACGTCATATTTTTAGGTGCTCATTTTTATGTGTTCAAAAATGATATATTTATAATATTATATGGTATTGTAATCTTAAAATCATGATGTGGATGATACTTACAGTTGTTGAAGAATCCAAGCTAGTGTTCTTTAAGAACATACTAGGATTTTCTTTGGACCTCTTCATAAGTAAAAGAAAGTATTTGTTTACGACCTTTCAGAGAAAGAGAAAACGTTACATTAATCTAAATTAACTAAGTCAGGCATTGAAATGATTAATAATTAATTATGAAACAAACTTGAGAAAATTAAAGTAAGGTTATTCGAATAGCCATTTACCTCATCTCCAATATAATACGTTTGGGGTGTTCCTTGTATAATGTCATCAACTAGAGGGATGACAAGAGGAGCTAAGAATTTGTCTTGGACCTTGAATTCCTCATCTAGTCCAACACATTGTCTGTACAAAAAAAAGTTGAACTCAATAAGGTTTTAAATTGTATGTCTCATATTGTAGTTTATTTTGATATTAAAACACATGCATACCCTGTTATCTTACGATTCTTCCATTTTCCCAAAAGCTCTAAATCCTCGTGGGTAAAATCCGAAAGCAGGAACTACAACCAAAACAATAGACAGAAACATTACAATACTCACACGATGATTTGTCATATGTACGTCATATACAAGTAATAATAAAAAATAAATATCAATAAAATTGATGGAAGCGCTTGGTATACTAAAGTAAAATTGTTAAATGTCACTTTTAGTCCTTAAACTTTTAATTTTGAAAATTTTGAACATTTTTAATTCTTAAACTCTTTTTTGCATTTTTTTTTTTTTGTCTCTAAACTATGAAAAACGTATTTTCTAATATTTCTATTAGTTAATCCATTCAATCTGTACAAATATGTATACTTTTTAGTTTCTAAACTTATAATATATACACATTTTTAATTCATAAACTTATTAGTTCAAGGATTAAAAACGTATATATATAAACAAATTTAGCAGACTAACAGATGGAAAGACTAAAAAAGTGTATTTTTCATAATTTAATAATGAAAAGAGTACAAAAAAATAGTTCAAGGACTAAAAATATTCAAAATTGAAAGTTTAACAACTAAAATTGAGATTTAACCAACTAAAAAATATAATGGATAAAACCTTTTTTGACCATGCTCTCCGCTTCCTCATTAACTTTTCATCACACTTTTCATCGCATGCTGCTGCAAGCCAAGAATGAAAATTTTAATACGAAACACAACTAGCAGTTGCATAGTCAAATTTCTATTCTGTGATTGTGGCATATGCATGTATCATCAGGAAGCTCATTTTTGTACCATAGCCTATGTTATTTTATGTTAATATGTAAATATGAGATTTAATCATATTTCATCTTGAAGTATAAACTAGAAAAAATATATATTTATCAAATAAATCAAATGAGTCAATTAACCATAAGAGGCCAATAAAATTTTGTCGAAGAGTACCATCACATAAAAAACAGTACTTACATGGTTTTGTTGATTCCAACCAATCTTGACAGCAGATTATTGCATTTAAGATATGTGATTCTCGATGACCATTGTTTGAAATAATCTTCGTAATATCTTTGGCAAATGCAGAACTTGACATAATGGTTGATAAAGGTATCGCCAAAAAATCACGAGCCATCATCCCCAATGTCGGAAATCTTGAGCTGTTGTTGCACCACCAATTTAAAATGTTAATTTCCATTGTGGAGCCTTCATCCTCTTCCAAATACTTACAAAGTTCTGGTCGACTTTTGGACACTTTATACTTCCTAAAGGAGTCGAACACTTTATCATCAATATTAGCCAATGATGAAGAACAAGGATCCCTAATGGCAATAGTAAATTTTGTGTGATTGCTGCAACTACTAGCATATTTATCATAAAGATTTCTAAGAAAATTAGAAATTTTGTCCAAGTGTTCCTTTGCAATAGCATCCTCATAGATTTCCTTGTACACAAACTCCACAAAGTCAAGTTTCAAGGATGGGTGAAGAATAGCAACAATTGCCAAAATCAAGCTACAAATTCTCCAATTATTACTGCATTCCACATTCATCAAAGTATAACCTCTATTTTCTTGGTGATTCATCTTCTCGTACACTTGATAAATGCCTTTTAAAGATATATCTGCAATCATACAATTTATGTCTCTAATGCACTTATCATAACTGAGGTAGAAAATACCAGAAGGCCATATTTTCTCATCATGAACTATCTCAACATTAGATAGGGAACTGTGGAATGTTAAGGAACATGTTTTCTCTTTGATATTCCAATCAAAAAGCACTCTCTTAAAAATCTCACACAATGATGCTGCATCAAAATCATGCTCTAATCTTTCAAAACTAAGAATCTTCTTCTTCAATGTCCAACTATCATCAATAAACTGCACTGTTAAGCAACAATTCACAATCTCTTTAGTATCATCCTCCCACAAGTTAATTGTCAAATTAGAGCGTGAAGAGAACTTGTCAAAATATTTACAAAGTTTATGCTTCTCTTCATTGTAGACATGAAGTATGTGAGGTTCAATATCTTTTTCAGATTGAAACTCAAACTCCGGCGACAACATTTTGAAAAGATTCTTGAGATGTTCATCATGAATTATGCTCAATGGAAGTTTGTACTTAATAATTACCCTTGCCATATCCAAATGAATCTTGCCTTCATCCAACACATATTTTTCTTTGAAAGCACATTGAGGTTCTAAATTTTTAGATGGAAGATTTGATGATTGATGTACATTTTTAATTTTTCTATGACGATGTTCAAAGTGTTTTCTTAGGTGTGATGTCCCTTTCTTGCTTGAACCATCCGTCTTAAAGTCACAATATTTACACTTGGCCAATAATTCCTCATCTACAACTTCTTCCTTTTCATAATGATTCCAAACATCAGATCTGGACATTCTTTGTCTTTTGTTTCCCTATCAATGAATAAGGTGTAATTGAATTCAAAGTCAGAAAATTAAAGAACAAGTCTTGAATTTGATTAATATACCAATAGAACATAGGCATATTTAAAAACTCCGAATCACGATTGTATATAAAGGTAAAAGCAGAAAAAGAATATGTACAAGGAACCATGACACATTTCATCACAATTTCATAATGATTCCAGTAAAAATAAGACAATGCACCTATATCAGTTTATGAGGCATTAGGTTTGAATATGATTAATTTATAATAATTGGTACCTGTTTGTGAGGCATTTGCATATCTGTAACATGATATTCAACTATCTGATTATTCCCACTAGAGGATATTCTTCCATTCAAATTAAAATCACCAATTGGTGGAGCCACTGTATTCTCTCTCAAGGTCTCAATATTTGAAGTTGCACTTATATGTGGCTGAATAGGAGGAACCTGAATGTTGCAGTTTACAGTGTAAGAGGCATATTTACAATTCCACAGCAATACTAAGACAATGCACCGCTTTAGTTTATGAGCATTTTCAATACAATAACTTATAATAAACAGTACCTTTTCATGAGGCCATTGCAAAACATTCCCATCCCTTGGGTTAACCACAAAGGTTTTCCCTTTAGAACCAAAAGCATCCGTTGATTGAGTTTGTAGATTGCCTTGTGTGGGCATGGCATCTAAAACTCCAGTGTAATGTAGCTGATCAACAAACGAAAGCTGATGGATATTGCGGTCTTAGTATATTCACAATTACATAAAAATACCAAAGAAAATGCACAGGAAATAGGTTCAACATGATTTATAGCAAATATGGATACCTGTTGCATAGGCAATTGCCCATCCATAGCATTTCCAACTGTCTGGTTAGTCAGATTTAAATTGAAATCACTAGTTGATTGAGATGGTGGATTGCTTCTCACGAGCATGGTATCTGAATCTGCAGTGTCATGTTCAGGTAGCTCAACTAGAGGGTCCTGATCACCATAGGTGACAAAACGTGGCGTTGCATCTTTCATGTAATCTATGATACGGTGTACCAACCATTTTTGTGTCTCGAGTGTCACATTACTACGTTGGAAGAAAAACTCGACTACATAATCACCACAGCTGCTGTAGGCACTGCTAAGCTTTATTGCAAGAGCACCAAGAAATTTTTCTTTTTTATAGTAGTTATGAATATATGGGCAAACATTTCCTTCCGAATCAATGACAGGAACGTAGAAAGGTCGATTACATTTAAGTGCTTTGCCCACAATGCCTTCTTCTTTGTACTGCCATTTGAACAGGTTCTTTGCATCAAACATATAAAGATTAGGGCAGCAAGCAGCATCTTCAAAACATAAAATAGTTTTAAGTAGAAGTGGAGAGCCCTTTTCATGATGGAGATATGCCGAACAGACAGGGTTTGCCCACGTCAGAATATCTACCACCTCATACTGTCTACATATATTCTGTAATATGTCATGTATTTCAGCCACAGAAGCCATATGAATCAAGTAGAGATCCTGCCAATAATTAAAATTTAAACATGTGTAAAGCTAATAATTGCAAACAATTAATTAGTTATTTTAGTTAAATTAACTTTTATGGGGGATAAAGAATCGAAATCATAGCAATTTTTTCAGGTAAATGAATTCATATAATCATTTAAGTCTCTCTTTCTTACTTATTCATACTTTAAATCTCAATATAGTAGGTGGTCAAAAAACTATTACTAAACAGTAATTGAAACAACAATTATGCAATGCACCATGTTTTGTTCTTTTATTACCTAATTTTTTTAAAATTTTTAATCATTAATTTCTGGGAAGATGTCTCATCAAGCCTACAAGAGTTCTCAAAGACTTACCAATCATAAAATGTTAAATCATCATTTAATTTCAATAAGCTGTTCTAGACTAGTTAAGAAGGGCTTTACTCTCCATCTCATCAATCAAACTTCAATTTCTTGGAAGGCTTATGACAATGTAGTTTTCATTAATTTTCTACCATTTGAAATTTCAAATGTGACCATAAGTTTCGTTCTGAATCAGAGTACTGCATTTAGCCTAGTGCACTAAGCTAATACAGAACAAATATGGGCAACAGAACCAACAAAGAAATGGATTGGGCAGTGCAGAAAAAAAATGCTGTCATTTCTGAAGGATGAGAAACCCCTCCCCTGTGTGGCCACCTCCAGGAGGGTAATCATGTTGCCATCTCTCTTCTTTCCATCTATCCTTTCTCCTTCCAGCCTATATGTCCCTACCTTTTTGTTCCCTAAAATCCCCCCAAAAAAAAACCCCCCTAAATCATCCTTTCAATTTTGCAAGCTTTTTGTGTTTCCTCTTTTAAAAACCCAAAAATATCGTTGCTCTCTTTCTTCTTCAATCTCAAATCTTAAAACCCAGAATATCTAGCTAATTTTTGTTATTTTCTCTCATTTATAGAATTTGCATCTACAATCGGCATGGCAAATCGGGTTTTGATAATTGCACTGGAAACAGATGCCCATTCTGAGGAACGGAGGTCCTTTACTGCTGCCAGGAGGGTGATTGCCGAGAGTCCGGTCCATCGGAATAGAGTTTATGGTGTGCTTGCAAAAGCTTGGGCGGATTGCAAGGATTTCCAGGTAAATGAAGTTGAAGAAAACCTTTATGCTATCTCTTTTCATTCTGAATCTGACCTGATGTATGTTCTGGAAAATGCTCCATGGTCTGCTGGAGGGTTTTTTTTTTTCAATGTTAAACAATGGGAACTGGGTATGCCTTTGGATGAAATTGACTTCTCACTAGACTCCTATTGGATACAAGTTCATGGTCAAAATGTTGATGAATTGACCTATAATAGTGCTGTTACCATAGGCAGTAGTCTGGGGATTTAAATCAAAGCTGAGAACCCAATAGTTAACAATGTTTCAAATTGAAGTTCTTAAGCCCCCTTTTGCTGGATTCTGGTCCCATTCTCAGAATCATGAGGATAAGTGGGTTGAACTAAAGTATGAGAAGCTGTCAAACTTCTGCTATAACAGTAGTAGGTTAGGTCACTTAGATTCTGTGTGTGGAGAAGAGATGGTCATGTCTTTGAAGGATCCAAACCAACCTATGTATAGTAAAAGGCTGAGAACTACATAGGAGAGAGAGACTAACAGAACCCCAGGTAGAGTTAACAATATTTACAGAAGCACTTCAAGTAATCTAAGCCTATTATGCACCCTCGTAGTGAGAGAGATAAAAGCAAGGGGCCTTGGAATGAGAAGCCTTTTAATTCCCCTAACACTTCTTTTCAAGCATCCCCTAAGACCAACCCACATATGCTAACTGATAGTATCCTCATCTAGAAAGAATCCTAAGCTCAGACTTGTTTTCTCTACCCCTTCTCCACCTAAGGACAATGAACATTTAAATATTGAATATGTTGGTAGTAGCAGTAGTGGTTTGGTGGCTGGTGATCCAATGAATGAGAACCCTCTTAATGCTGTTAACCTGGATATCATTCCTGTTCATGAGACTCTGTTTGGTAATTGAAAACGGCACGAAGTAGTAGCCCAAGAAGTATTTGAATGAACCCCAATTGTGCCCTATTTGAGGGCAATGATCAGCAAGTTTACTTTGTGGAAATACCTGGTGATGCGTCTGCACTATTTGCGAAAGGTTGGAATATGTTATCCCCAGAAGGCTGCCCAGCAAAATCCCCTTGGACAAGGTGTTTAATGGCTTAAGACACAAGAGAGGCAGATCAAATAGCCCCACTAGTCCCACAGCAAAGAAGTTGAAACCTAACCTCGTCAACTTCTAAGATTGAATCCTCTGCTACCCTTGCCTAGCCCTGGGAATGTCAAGTTTCCAAAATCTGGTGAGAAAAAGAAAACACTGAAGAAAGGGAGGCCTGTTGGAAGAAAGCAAAAGGTGAGTCCTGGTTTCCAAATTGAGGAATGTCAGTTGTTCATTGTGCCCATTGCAGCAAGTGGCACCCTTTTTTTAGAGGAAAAAAAGCTGAGGTCTGAAGGGGTTGGTGGCCCCCCTAAGGCCACAGGGGTTCCATGATTCTGTTCAGAGATTATGATTTTGGGAAGGGGGGCTGCCTTTGGTCATGAAATCTTTAATCCTGAGGTATCCTAGATTATTTCTTCAGTTAAGCTTTTGGTTTAATTTCCTTCTTTTGTTATAAACTTTGTTTGCAATAAATATATCTGCTAGCATGAGTTTGGGTCTGGTTTGGGTAGGTAGAATGATAGTATGGCTTGCCTTGTATCTTTGGAGGAGGTATTCTGTGGAAGGAGTTGTTTGTTTAGTAGGTCCTTCTGTCACCAATTCAAAGGAGCAATCTTGAATGTCCAAGCACTGCCAGAGGATCTTCAGCCTCACTCTGCCTTCCTTTCAACCCAAGCTCATGATGCTTGCTTTCATCTACCTCCCCAAGACTTTTGAAGACCTGCTTCTCAAGTCCAGCTCTGTGCGACCTGTTGTTAACAGGAGTAATTCCTTGCTTGCTTCTCCTCTTCATGTGCAAGCTCAGCAGCTCTCCTTTGTGGTGTTATTTCAAGTGTTATGTTTCTGTGTTACTGTTTTTGCTCATGTTCTGTGTTTTGATGGTCTGTAAGCTACCTTATATTTCCGGTTAATATAGTAATTATATTCTAGTGGCAAAAAAAAAAAAAAAAAGCTGAGAGAAATGGAGAATCAAGGATGAGAAAGGAAAAAGAAGCAATTAGGTGTTTAATTTAAAGCAATAATGTCGATGCATTATAATCGGTTAACTCTAATATAAAATAACACATAGATTCTAAAACCAAATACAACACCTATTAGTCCTCTTAAAGATCATATCAAATCTTAAACTAATAAGAAACTAATTAAATCAAAACATAATAACCTTAAATAATATAATTTCCACTAAAATCTACTTATATCAGATACTACATAGGTTTTATTGAGTATGTCAATATCAGAGATTGAATTCTAACCATATGGTTGAGAGTATAGATAATTCTACAATCAGATCACGTGGTTATGATATTAAATATTACATAATTAATTACAAACTCATAATTATAAAAAAAAAAAAAAAAAAATCCTACAATTAGATCACATGGTTATGGTAATAGTTAATTTTTTGTCAAACTATAAAAACAAATTAAAATTGATAAACTTCAATAGGATGCTAAGAATAACTAAGTTTTAATATCTAATTTTCTTTTTACATTAGCAAAGAATTAGGAAATACATATTCCTTAAAAAGTAGAAAAAAATACATATTCTCGTTCATCCCTCACTAAAGTAAAAATTTATCAACATTAAAACTTAATTATTCCTAACTTTCTATTAAAAAAATTTCAAATATATCTTATTTTAAAATTTAACTAAGGAATAATTATTACTACCAACCAAACATAACACATGTGGAGGGGTGGTAATACTTATTCCTTAATCATCCACTAACTTACAATATGATATGGTTATATAATTAGCCATGTGGTATTATAAACTCATAATGCCATGATATGTTGGTTATATAATTAGTTCTTTTCATTCAGGGATCCACTTGTGATATTGTATATGATATTGTATGAGCCACTCGTTTAATGCCATATCATATTAATTTAATGCCACGTAGGATTGTAAGTTACAATCCTACATGGTATTTTTTTATCAACACAATCCTACATAGTATTATAATTATTACATTGCCGTTTATGTTTAGGACATCATTCAATGTATCTATTCACACTTTACTCTTTTTTAAAAAGATAATTACAACATATATTAAATTAAAAAACTTATTTAAGTAGTGATTAATTAATGATAAATATGAAATTTTTTAATTAATTATTATATCCTTATTTTATTACTGTAAAAAAAGGTAAACCCACTAAAATTGAATGAAGAGATTAAATAATTAAGATGAACCAAGATGAGGAATCCAATGTTTCTCGACTTGTATATTTGAAAAACAAGATAAGGCGTAAGAAGAAAATAGAATACCTCTGGGAAAATTTGGAAAGTTTGAAGGCGATTGCTTTCTGGAGAAATGATACAGGGATCTATTTTGTAGAGCAATTAAAGAAAAAAATAAAAAGAAAACACACGATCAGTCTAAAATAAAAGATAAATAAATATTATAGTTCTAGCAAATTGCATAACTTAACAAGTAAAAGTTTATTCAATTAAGCCAGTCTTGTTTGCAAAGATTTTTAAAAATTTGAGGTTGCTTTTTCTTTTTAGAGGATAAGTAAATTGAGTTGTTTTTTTGGCCTTCAAGAAAATTTAGTTGATTAGGCAGAAATTGAGGTGGTTTAATGAAATTACAACTCAAACCACTAAATCAAAAAATGCTGTAAAAAATTATTATTTTTTCTTAAGAAATTAGACATCAATATCACTACATCGTGAGCTCTTCTCTATTACTTTAGCAACACATGAAACTGATACCATGTTAGGTGTGGTCCCTTTTCAATAATACTTCGAAGGATTTTTTTTTCTTTTCTTTTAATGTTTAATTTGACACATCAAAGATAGTTTACATTCCAGTTCACATAGGTCTTAGTGATTGAAATTTAAAAGCCGTTTATTAATTTATTTATTAATTTATTTATTATTTTATTTATTATTTTATTTATTTAAGTCTCAAATCGTTTTACTAACTCCAAATACATCAAATATAATGTTTGGTCTCAAAACAAACTTTGTTTTTTCAAAGTATCTGAAAAAATGTTTTGCGTTACAAGTTCAAAGCACATACAGCAGTGTATAATGCATGATATAAAACTTATAGAATCAAAAATAAGTAAATGTTTTTGGTGAGTGTTGAGGGGCCAGTTTAACTCGGTAGAAGATACTAACCTTCATTAGAGCCTGATGATTTGAAGGGGAATGTTGATGTTGTCCAAGCAGAAACGAAAATTAATGGCTGCTTCTCTGGTCTAGCACTTACGATCACAAAAATACCATTTTCCCACTTCACCCAAAAATGACCTTCAGCGAAATCAGTAGAAAGATTAAAAATAGAAAATCCATAACGAAAAAGTGAGGATTTCCATTGAGCCCACGTCTGGTGCCGCTCCACCCTGTTACTACCCTTACATGCCACCATGTTGCATATTTGATATCTATAATACACCTCAATCTCTAAGTCATAATCATATTCATATTCATTTAGGTCTTGGAATGCAGAAGAGTAATACTCTAGTGATTCATCAAACCGCAATAGAAAATTAGACTGATTGAGGTTAGCATCATGCTCTGCAACAATCATAATATCCGCTTTCATGACATCCCTCACCGTTAATAACAGCTTCTCCAGAGCTAACGCCTCTGATAACATTTTGCTGAATACAAACATGCAATTCACAACCACAAACTCGCCATCCTGCAACTCCAGCAAAGTCACATCAATGTCAGCGAAACTGTTAACAGAAAAAATCTTATATTCCAACCCAATGCGGAGATGGCTAGAAGCCCGAATAAGTTTCTCCTCACTTTCTTTTGAAAATTCAATATTTTCTTGTACAAGGAAACTTAACCTTAAATGCGTCAGGTCACCCAAGTCATAAAACCCATAAAAAAAGGATGCCCATTGCTCATAACCATTCATGTGCTTGACAAGTTCAATAACATGGACCTTGCGTTTCCCCTTGACGACATCTTCAATAGCCCAACCTACAGTATGAAAAAGGCCATACCCTTCACACATGCTATACTTCCAGTCAGGTGTTTGGAATGAAAAACATTTAGGATGAAGTCCATAGGCTCGGCAAGCGAGAGCTTGTGCAAAATATCTGATCAATCTTCTAGTTCTAGGCTCCGTTTCCTTTCCAGCAAGATCAAGAACTCTTCCCATCTCTGCATTTGCAAGTCTCGAATTCCCATGTTGAAGCGCCTCCGCGCATTTTTTCAAGGCGTCAACAACATCCCCCCTCATCCTCCTTTACTAGAGAATGAGTTTTCTTTTTCTCAACAGCAACTTAACTAATTTATTTTAAGTCTTCATGTCTTTGATGATCAAAATTTAAAGAACAGAACAGCCTCTCTCCTATCACTAACTTTTGAATTAAAAGAAAAAAAAAAAAAAGGAAAAACAATAGAATATAATCAATAGGATTTTAGATCTTAATTTCAAATTCATTGAAAAATAAACAAAAAAAAAATCAATAATTTCATGAGGAAAATAAGAGCAGAGACTAACCTCTACGCAAAACAGGTCAACGTTCACAGCCGCAAGCTCCAAATAACAAGTCTGCCGCCCACCCAGAGCCCCCAATCTAGTCCCACGGTTGGTGGATCAGATCAGTCCTCCAACAGAAACTATGGCAGAGCACGATGAAGGGTATAGGAGAGATTCTGAAGGTCGTTTCTGTAATTTCATCATACTGGGTTTTTATTTTTTTGGAACAAGTAGTACAAATCTTTGTGGGTTAGGGCATCAGCTGGATGGCTGAAGCTGCACCTCTTCTCCAAAACGTCCAACAAAACCAGATGCCTGAGTCGGAATTGGAAAATCCGGGGGGCTGGTATTAACATTATTGACGACTTCCTTTTGGGGGAGACGGTGTGCCTTTATGATCTTTCAGAAGGGTTAAAGTCAGCTATAGTCCCTCTACTTTCGTTTTTCGTTCATTATTCTCCCTATACTTTGAAATCATTCAAAGGCCTCACTCTACTTTCCCAAAACATACGACTGTCCTCCCTCTACTTTCAATTTTCATTCTAATTACCTCCCTCACCTAAAGCCGTTACTAACACCGTTACTAACTTACTAACACTAGTTACTAACACTAACACCCGATTAGGTTAAAGCCAATTATAGTTCCTCTACTTTTATTTTTCATTCATTGTCCTTCTTATACTTACATTTCATTCAAATTCCTCCATGTAAAAATCTTGCATAGCTTATGGACTTGATTAATTAAAACAGTAACTCACAATGTATTTTCCTATGATTAATCAACTAAAACTAGGGGTACATGAATTATTATCACATCCTAAAGTG